GAGGGGGTCTGCCGGGAGCCCGCACGGTGCGTGGCCGGGAAGGGAGGCGGCTCTCCGGGGAGGCCCCGGCTCCTGCGGCGGGGTCTGTGGGCCTAGCATCCCGCCGCTTCGGTGCGGCTGGGCTCCTGGCGATGAGAGGGAAAACATGGGGGTACAGCGAACCGAGAGAAGGTGCTGGCTGATTAGACGAGAAACACGAGGAGAAAACAGTAAGAGGGGGTAGGTTATGTCAAGATGTACGTCTGGGTGGGTACTGCCTCACCGGCCAGGGAAGAGTCTCCCTTCACCCCTCTGGGGTAGCGTGTTACCGGCACGTTTTGAAGTACTTTGCAGTAAGTATTGATTAAAATCAGCATTACCCCTGTTCAGTTTCAGGTTGTCGCATCTCTTTTTATTCTATAGCCTGCTGTTAATATTGAGATATACTTGAGTATCACATCACAGTGCTTGACAGCACTAAGCAAGTACAAGAAACAAACTTCCCACCAAAAGCAAGCTAGTTTTGCTGGTTAAACAGTGCTTTTGTAGACTGATTCAGAAGGAAGTTTAAAAGTCTCCATCCCTGTCTCATAAATGAATATAAATAGTCTCACAGATCATGTGAGTATGAAGTATGCCATGATTCTTTTTTAAAATTATCATTACAAATTTTAGTGCAACAGGGTAAGAGTGTTACCTCCAGTAAGTTATGTCAATCTCCTGAAGAAATCAGTGTTACTAAATTCTTATGTGTGTCTATCAGAAAACTTTTAAACCCCTTGGCTAATTTCAGCCAGATTTGAAAGATGGAAATGTCTGTCTGAAGACTTAACAGATGGGCAGAGGAGGAAAAATCTGCACTCTGCTGAAAGAAAAGCAGGCATAAATTAGTCCTTGTTCGTTCTTTCTAGCAGTAGGTGGCTGGGCAGCTGGTATATGCAGAATTCTTCACTAGCTATTACATGAAGAAGAAACAGGAAGAAAATTGTCTGATACGAGAAGTGGAAAAGAACTGCAGATATTGTTGTGGATGGAGAAAATAATTTAGAGAACGAGAGTTACAAAGCTTGGTTTCTTACAGGTTTGCAACTTCAGCTTCTAACAGCACGGCTTACTGTTCTTTAAAAATGTCCCTTCTGTAGCAAGCTTGTGGGTTTTATTTGTCTGGACTACTTTTAAACAAACAGTCCCTTTGTACTGACTTCTCTACAAATCATACTTTGAAAATCATAAGGTACATCTTGGCTTATGCACTGTGTTCCTTCCAGACCTGCTTCTTTAAAACAGCCTTTTCCCAGGTTCAAAAATTGCATGTTAAGTACCTCTCTGTAACAGTAGTCTCAATCTTCAAATAGATCTGTTTTATAGGGTAAAAATGAACGTAGGAGTTGCCCACAGCGAGGTAAATCCAAACACGCGTGTGATGAACAGTCGTGGAATGTGGCTGACGTACGCGCTGGGAGTCGGCATGCTGCACATTGTCTTGCTCAGCATTCCTTTCTTTAGTGTCCCTGTCGCCTGGACTTTAACAAATGTGATTCACAACCTGGTAAGCACCCTCTCTTGTAACAACATTTGAAAAGCTGTTCATACGTATTTAGTTTTAGTAGCAGGAGAAAAGTAGCTAGGTTGTATGGATAATGAAATCCAATCAGCCAGAAAAACACCTTTACTTGGCTTATCTGCTGTTAGATGAGTTGAGTGTTTCAGGGAGGAGGAGTGATACATGATCACTTTGGGTTTAAGCACAAAAGACAGGAAATATTCCTTATATAGTTTATTTATTCTTTCAAAATGCATCTAATTAAGCTAGAATCTTGCGAACATAAAATCATCATGCCAACTGACTTTTACAGTGGTTTGCATATTATTAGAGTGCTGTGCTGAATGCATAAAATATATTTTTAATTCTTGGATATTATCTACTAATGTTTTTATACAAATCTGTTAGTACCCCAAAAGGTTTCATTTTGGCATTTTACCTGTTTCCTTGGACAGGAACATTTAATTTTTTCTCTTGTATTGATTTCTGACCAAGCTAGGTAAATGACTTCAGCATACAACTTTGTCATTACAGACACAGTCATACAGACACAGGAAAAACCTTACTTGAAAGCAGTGGGAAAAACTGGACTACCTTGACCTGAAACCATTTGTTATTCAGTGGGCTGTGATTTGCATGATGACTTTTGTATGCAAAAGGATTTGGAAGCTGAAGTTCTTGAGAATCTTTCTGCCTTGTTTCCCCTGGATGCTATAATTTTGTTGTAATCATTTAAAGTAATGCAAGAATTTATACTGCTCCTGCCAATCTTAGAGAAAAGAGGTCATAATCCAGTAATTTACATCATACTTGAGGCTTGCTAACTCATCTTTGTAAGATTAACAGCAAAGAAGTCTTGACAAAAAGATAGCTTCTTCCTTATTTAGGAAAACAATAGCTCATTTTAAAGGCTGAGGTTGGATAACATCCTCTTGAGTCAAGCTTCTTATTTTTGAGGATATGCTTGAAAATGACAGTGTGAGTGTAAACATCATCAGAACATGTTGTACGTCAGACGCACCTGACTTTGGGAGATGTTGGCAGAGACAAGTATTACTAAATATTTCCCAGATGCCTTACTGAATTCATTACAAGTAGCTATAATGACAACAGGGATGAGAGCGTGCACGGCAACTAGTTTTCTAGTGGAAGATTGAGTATAAACTTCACTCTTGGATATTCCAGCATTTTAATGGCACTTTTTTTGGAAATAAATCCTTGAATGGTTTGACAGACAAAAAAATCTTGGATTTCCACTAATGGAAAACTCTTGGTTGACCTTGTAAGTATTTTTGGAGGCCCTTTCTGCCAGTACTATAAGATGTATAATAGGCATTTGGACCTGTCCTAAAAGTGCCTTTTTGCTTGTTATTAAAACTGAGATGCTGGAAACATCATAAATTGGAGAATTAATCAAGCAAAGTAATTCTCTTTAGCTTAATAGGCCTCTGGTCAGGGGGCTGTGCGAAAAAGAAGTGGAAGATGATGTGAAGTGACTTGCTCAAATTTCACCTCCTTTATAAGAATTTGGAAGAAATGTGATTTTTCTATATGAAACTTTCTAGAACAACTTCTGTGTATGCATAGAAAATAACCTGAAAGAAATAAAGGGAAGTCTTTGATTCTTTCTGATGGAGACTCTTGCTTGGAGTTGGTGTGCTCTCTGATAGAAAACAGGTGTTTTTTCAAGCTGGAAGAAGACGCACTCCCCTATCTGAAATCAGTGGGCTCAAACTGATCTTTTAGAACAGACCAGACATGGCATGCTCCTGTCAAACACAGTCACAAAGTCCAGTGTGGTTAAGGAGAAGCAGCAAAGAGATGGACAGATGGTGTTCAACAGATTGCTGGTAGTCTACTTCTAATTATTTGAAGCTGGG